CCTAATTGGACTAAAGTCGAAGACCACCGACGAGGCCTATTCGGCCTTAGACTGTTGGGTTTATAACGCTGTGTTGTTTGCTTGCAGCTCGTTTCCACATGTTTTGCTCCTACTTGAGGTCTGTTCACTCCCCACTAACTAATACGAATATTTTGTTGCCCGTTCGTCACCACTCGCAAGTTAAAATTAGTTTCACCTGTTTTGGGCATCCGCTCTGACACCACAAAACGGACCGGCCAGGGACCGAACTCAGATCCCCTCGGATAGCAGGCAAGCATGTTTCCAACTACACCAACCTGACATCGAAACAGGCCCAATTTTTGTAATACCTGTATACAGCATCTGCCAGATAGCCTTTGGTGAGCGTTGTTTCAAATAGATATTATCGAAAAATATGATTTTTCACGTGGCACGAGCTGCCGCATGTCGCCGTTAACCAAGGAAAGTCACTTACTTCAGTCCCTTACTGATTTTTTCTGCGCCGTCATCTCTCTTCACGGCCAACTCACACTGAGAATGTGCCCGCATCTCTACGTCTGCACAGCGTTTGGTGCTCACTTGGTGTTGCTTCCAGAAGGCCCTGTCGCCTCACTAACTATTTTTTGATCCGGCTGGCTGCGCAATTACTAATCGTACGTCTGCCTAATTCACGGCGCTTACAAAACCGTTCGTTTATAGAGCCAGTTCCTGAAAGTTCCCAGTACATCCTGTGCTGGTCTCGCCCGTCTGTTCTTAGAAGAACTGCGTATAATCTGATGGCCGCAGTTGTCCTGTGTCATCCTTAGCTGTCCGGGCTTTACAGCAAAACATCCTCTTAAGGTGTGCTTACGTTGAAGAGCCAAGATTTTAGACCCTTTCTGAAACATAGACACGGATTCTTGTTTTCCTTGGGTGTTTCAACCGCTAGACCACTGCCAGCTACATCGGTGACAATGTCCTTGCCTTCCCATAACTAGGCACCTACACTGGCCCAGGTAGTACTTGGTTTCTAGGTCAGCAAACCAACTCGCCCTTCCTTGGGTTCGCCTAGCTTGCTGTAATAATAATGATGATCGTTCATCTGTAACACCCTTTCAGTGCCTAGCTGCCGTGCCATCCGGAGGAAGCACGAGGGCTGTGATACTGCCAGGTCGCCCAAGCCTAGACAGAAGTCGAGAGGCAGAGGTCGGGTTCGGACCACGGACCCTCCGAACAGTGAATCCGCGCTCTAACCACTTGAGCCACCCCGCACCTTGCTTGCTGTCATCCCCTTTTAGTTTTTCTTTCCATTAACACCGACGTATCTGATGCCTTCCAACACTCACCAGACGCTACTGATCTTATCATTCTCCTCCCTCATTCCCCCTCTTCTAAATCTTCGAACCCAGACTTAGTTTCCAAAATGCCCTGCACAACCGTTATTCATTCAATCCGACTGGTCCTTGGTCTGCATTCTCATGGTCCTTCAAACGAATGGAAATTATCCATGATTCCGCACTAGTATGATCCTATACACGTCAATCTCTCCACCTAGCCCAGATCCAGCTGCCACGGCACGGGGCATCCACCCTCCGCTTAAGGCATCCTTGGCGATCGTTACGAGGCTGTCCATGAACCAAAGTATGTCCGTGTAATATGTCATGGCACTGCCATACCCAATGTGATGGCACCCCGCAACTATTTTCTTCAGAACCGCGACCGCAGCATCCCGCCCTTTTAAGCCTGTAATTGCAGCTACGGGAAAATTTTACACCTGACTCCAACTATCTCTGGGACGAGTTCAACTATAGGGCAATAATATATTTCTCAACAGCTTGAGTCAGTCGGAATAAGTAAACAGCATTGTGCCGACTTCTTGCTATCAGCAACCACCGGCGTGAGCATTATGCCTGCAAGTTAAATGTGTGGCCGCTTAAAAGTTCGCTGCTGAATGACAGGAAGATTTTCGAAAAGGCTGATACAGTTCGTAGACAAACACTTGAGCACTATTAGTGCTGAATTCGAAGAATGCCCATACACGGTAAATTTTATAAGTCCGCTACTTTGAATTTAAAGCTGTGGGGATAATTTCGCATTGGAATGGATGAAAATCGAGCGTGAGCCTTTAATCGCAGTCCCTAAACTCGGGGTCGATGTTTATCGCCGATCGGTCGGCGGGGTACGCTGAGTGTTCCCGCACAGTCAACGCAAGCTCATTTGAAATTGTAACTTGGATATGAAGTTTAAATCCGCACATTTGCCGTCCACCAGAAAAATACGTTAAGATGATTGCACATACGTTAAATCTTTCATCCTCACGAGGTTGTCCTCGATGTGCACGTCAGTGATGATGTAATTTATTGGGTCAAACGCAGTTGATTAAAATCTGCAATTCGGTGTCTCGGATGATTACATCAGTGTGATTTCAAGGGCATAAGACGCCACAACTACTGTTGGAAGCGGTCAACTTATGACTTAGGCTATTCTGTCTCCCGGGTCCCATCGGGAACCTGAATGTCGCAAGCTTTGTACCCCTTCAGGATGAATGTCGGATATGTCTGAGCTCCGAGATTTTTTGAATACCTAGAGGCCAGTTTATGCTCCTCGAACAATGACCGGGAATGAGAAGGTTTGCTTGCCTACATTTTCTTGTGACCATGCTGCACGAGCGGGTTAGTATTCGGCTTTCACAAGAGCCACCCCAAAAAGCGATTTCCTAGTTTTATTGACCTAGTAGTTCCGTAAAACATGCCCACTAGTTTTGTCATGGGGTCTTGACCACAGAGTCGGAAGGCTAGAATTCTTTCAGGTTTTATAGTCAGAGGTGCGAATAGATTCTGATTTAGCGCTTACGATAAGCAGCGAAGTTAAATGAACGCATGCGGTTGTGATGAAGAGGGACTCAGGTTAGTAATTGAATTTGGGGACTTTTCCTGGGACTTTTCCTGGTCTTCCTGAAGGAATCGGAGATTCTCGACGATAAGCTTCATCTGTCGGCAGTATGAGGCAGTAAGATACACTTTTGGAAGCGAGGCAAGTACTTGCTTAAAGCTGTCTATTTATGACTGAGAATCTGGCAGTATGCACTGCAGAATAATCAGGAAGCCTTAATCCCACAACAGCTGGTCGGTGATTTGAACACCTAAGCTTTTGGCCACTATGTACAAAACAACAGTGTCATTATCTCGCACCAAGAGGGAGTGTGACGCCACTCATCACTCAATCCCGTTAGCGTGGTAACGTAGTCATGTGTTGACGAGGTCTGAGAACGCTGACGAATTAGGCAGAAGGTTCACTTATCTAAAGATGACAGTCTTCCAAGCTTTTCGTTGTGCAGAATACCCAACCCCAAAGGCTGCAAATCATGTAAAAATGTCGGGCAATGAGCTTTATTCTGCGGATCCAAATCCTGCTGCGCGGGACCGATTCCCTTCTTCTGGGGCTGGTTCACCGTTGCCCCTCATACAAACACCTTAGCAACACCCCTCTAGCTACCATTTCACCCATTTCTCACTTATAGCTGATTCTAGCACCCCAATGTCTCCTGGATGGAGATCTAAAGCCTCGAAGCTAGTGGATATTTTGCAGCGGCGCTGACCAGTCATTCAACAAATCGCCTCAACTCAACATGAAGGCATACCCATCAGATACTGCGCAGACAAACTTACATCCTTCTTTGACTTGTTCAGCACGAAATAAGAACATTCCATCGATCAGGTGGTTGTTAATGCCCCATGGGGTCATGATGACAACTGTGTGGTGATTTTCGATTTTATCTGCTGCTATGCCGGGAATTCCAGGCCTCGAGGGTGATATCGAAACATTCGGTGTGCAGGCTTATCAGGATTGTGCATCTTCCCACCAGCATCAGTGGAAGATTTATAAAGGATCCAGGAAGTTCTCTTGGCTGACGCATTTTTCGCCCTGAAAAAACCAACATGCCGCAAACTACCTAAGAGGACCCTGCGGTTTCTATAAAATGGGTCTAAACTATTTTCCAAAAAGCTGACTACGGAAGATACAGAAGGTGGGTGGCGTTTCGCAAAATGCGGAACAACTGTAAACAGAAATCCGCCAATGATAACGCGAATACAAGCCATTATATCAGACTTTTCTTGGAAAAACAAAAAAGTTGCCGTTTAAGCACATGAATCATCGCTGCAAAACTAAGTCAGCAGCCTTCTCCCCAAGGTTCAGAAACGGGATGGCCACGAGTGACACAATAGTGGTGTCCGAATTCCAAAGAGAGCACTGCACAGGCCTGCATTCTGCCGTAATTACCTCATCACCCCACTCCTGCCAAGGCCTTACAACTTGGCCTTTAAGGTGAAGGATATTCGTCAACTCTTGCACAAGACAAACCCGTTCTGCGCTTTTGGGCCTGGTGACGTCAACTTAGTGATCCTGAAGGAAAGCTCTTTTACACTGGCAATGCATTTCTACCTGGTGTTTCGTCAGTTGTTCAACGAAAGTAACCTTCCCACGCTTAGAAGGAAGTGATTATCTTTCCAGCCTAAAATTGCTGACCAACTGCCGCCCGGCAGCTACAGGCATGTGAGTCTCACTGGGACACTGCGAATTAATGAAACACATTCCGAAGTGGGCCATCCGAGATCACCCTGCCACAAACAGCTTGATCCGTTCAGTTCAACACGGTTTGTTCTCAAAACGTTCTCGCGTAGCGAACATTTCCGTATATGTGGACGGTTAAACCCCAGCTAAGGTCGAAAGGTTCATATCGTGCGCAATACTTTTCGACTTCTCAAAGGCAATCGATCGAGTCTCACATGTCCCACTGCCCCATAAACCCGAATCATACCGGATTCAAGGTGGAATTCAACGCTTGGTTGAATTCCTGTCAGCCAGAACATCCAGAGTGAAAATAGGCCCTACCTGCACTTCTCGGGCACAGGCCCCCATTGGAGTTCCTCAAGACTATGTTTTGGGACGACTTCAGTTTCCAATTTGCGTCAGCGACGTTCCGGACGTTCTTCCAAGTCCCTGTCTACTTTCTGCAGAGAATTTGAAATTCTAACGTTCAAATGCCATTGCCCACCAAACGGATAGACTGGGATCGTCCTCTGAATGATGAATCCTTCATCATTATGTCCGAACAAGCAAGAACAGGGCCTACCGCCCGGTTAGCTTTGCACTCTCTGGAACCATTGTTCAAAGCCTTCAAGGGTGCCTTGTACTGGCCTTGGTTTTCCAGGGGAGAGTTCAGTATAGGCAATGAGGAACACGACGGAAATAAGGGATATGAATGATGCTGAAGGTCTCATGGCACCGGACGTTCACTCCTCCGAAGTCGAAGGTACGTGCGCGGTTCGATCGAATTGGGAGGAGCCTTCTTTAAAGGGCACTGACTGAGATACATAAAAAGACGGACACCGGGTAGCATTAGGTCTAGATTCTTCCAATTTGTGATAGAAACGATGTTCAGAAATGAACCTAATAAAATTATTAATAGGCTCCCAGAGACGTGACATTAGTTTGCAATATCCTGGTATTTGCATTCAAGACAGATTCCGTCGCTCACTTTAGTCGCGCAAACGCCGAATTACCCACGGATATAACAACGTGACGATGAACGGAGCAGGTGCATGCTTTTACGCTCAGTTATCACAGTGCCCGCAACATGCCGAAGACACCCGGGCTACAACATGGGTCGTCAATCTATGGAGTTTGCCCACTTCCGTTGTGTTGGACCTGCAAAGCCATAGTACTTTTGGGTAGACAAGCGAAACCATTGAGGGGAATGTGTTACCGGATTCAGCCAAAAGAACTATGGGACACAGTTAGTGCTGGAAATGCGTTCAAGGGGATTTTCTGATACTTTATAATAAGTGGATGTTGAACATGGCAGATGGTAGCGTCATGGGAGTTCCTGAAGGCTCCGTTCTGGGACCGGCCTTCCGGACGTTCTTCCAAGTCGATGTCTGCTTTTTGCAGACAAATTAAAATCCTGGAATTCAAATACCAGTGCCCTCTGAACCAGTGTAGACACTGAAAAGCGATGGTCGTTGTACAGAAATCTTCTGCTGGATGATGAAAAGTGCATCAACATGTCACTCAGGGTGCACCCATCGAACGCCCCCGTCATGCTTGGTGACCAGGAGACATCACGAGGATGGATGCCGAAAAGGATTTAGGCCCCTGGCTCTCCACAAATGTCTTTCTCATTGAACCATTAAAATTTGGCTCAAAATGAAGATGGTTCGGCATACTTCCACCCGCATTACTCTCATATACCTCCAAATACTCCATGGGCCCACGTCAGACCACTTCTTGAATGTACCAACAAAGTTGTTTACCTAGAATGCGAGGCGAAATCCTCGTTGAGCGTGTCCGGTGAGCTGCTACGAGAATGGTTGCCTACCTTAAATTGGTGGGCTATGAAACGCGTCTTGCGGTGCTTGACTCGCTTCTCCTGGAGAATTGTCGCCTCCGAGGAGATCCAGTATGTACCTATGCACTGTTTGAACAAGATTTGGCAACGGGTTTTTCATCATAGATCCAGCCAACCCAAGCCGGGCTCACCGTAAGAAGACTTTTAAGCTCAGAGCGCACACTTTCATTAGGCAAAGGTTTTCCCATTTAGGGTAGTCGCTGCGTGCGTAGCCCTCCTCTGACGGCTCTCCATGCTGTGAAAAGTAAGCAGTTCATAGCACTAGTAAATACTATTTTACGAGAATACTCGCTGGCAATCTTACTTCCCCGCGCTGTGAAGTTAAAGAGCGGTACTACACCCTTTTCACTTACGCCCTTCAGGTGAGCGTCAGCCGCTGAGCGGCAGGAACTAAACTTACCAGGGAATCTGGGGCTAAGACTCGATCATATGTATCTGTGACTCCGTCAAAATTAAAGTACGCGCTCTTCTGTTTGATTCAGTGTGGCGGAAGCCCAGGCCTAACTTGTTCTCCGATCACGAAAACCTCAACCTTCTTCTCCGGTTTCTTCAGTTTATATGTGACAAATTTATGAGCATTCCATTGTGTATCGGAAATTGTTTCTTGCATTAAGGCCACTTGAGTGCGCGCTCCTGAAATTGGTCGCCTCCGTAAGCGTGACATCCCCTTTTCCTCGGTTTTCTGGATGTATGTCATTAAATTGACATCGCTTTAGTCTACGCTTTCCTCCTTATTTTCAGTGTGAATCATGACTAAGGGAACAACATCCTTCGGTAAACGGCACAACAAGACCCATACACAATGCAGACGTTGTGGCCGTAAGTCGTTTCACATTCAGAAGAAGAAATGTTCCTCTTGTGGATATCCCGCCGCTAGAATGAGACACTACAACTGGTCGGAAAAGGCTCGCCGCAGGCGGACCACAGGAACAGGAAGAATGTTGCACATGAAAAGCGTTCATAGGCGATTCAAGCAAGGTTTTCGTTCCGGTCCTCCGAAACCTGTAAAGTCGGGTTGATCTTTTGCTAATAAATACTGGTGAATCGCGTCGTTTGTTATGGGGTTCTGTTTGTGCCTGGAATTTGTCTGGATTTGCAACAGGGTTGGTGAAGATAAACTGTGCGCCGAAGATTCTGCGTACTCTTCGCACTTCGGATCCGATGTTATAGCTCCTCCGGATATATTTCTTCTGAATCACTGTTTTTCCCTGTGATGTTCAGTCAGCAGGTCGGTCCGCTTTTCTGGTTGCTGTGATGTATGTTGGGCATTTGACCTTCAGCATAGCAATATTGGACACTGGTACCACGCTGTCGATTATGGTTTGCCGTCGTCCACGCCGCAAGCATCAGTGTTGACACTGATGTATTCTGCCGTACCTATGTCATGGTTGTACGTGCGCTGGGATACTTCCGAAACGCCCACACCTGGTCAAGGTTTCGTACAGATGACGGCGGGACTTCCACGCCGTTTTTGTTGCCTGGGGCGACACTAATGTTTGAGGCGATGCGTACCACCCAGCTGATGGGTGACGCTGGTTTTATCCAATATGTTGGCCGAACAATTTGTTATTGTTAGGTCACTGATTACATGGTTTTGGAGGGGTGATGCCACGTACGACCGTGTTATGTATATCTAAGCGTTGTTTACGAGAAGATGAACGAAGAAACTTAGGTACAGGTGTCAGGAATAGGAATAGTAGCCACTAGTTGAGGCGCAATGGCTGGAGATCTGTAGTTTTGCTCCAAATGCAGAGCGTATGCCCGAAGGATCATAGGATGGTATCAGTCCAGTGAAAGAGCGTGAAAAACACTGGCGATCATCTCAAGCTGCGGGTGAAATTCCCTGAGGATATCGAGCTGTGTTTCAGGTGCGATAGTGGCCCAACTCATTGAAATTCTCTGAAAGTTGTTGGCTTCCGGTGGCGTTTGATAGTGATATTCAAACCATACATCACGCTGTTAGGCGGCGGCTAGGGGCCAACAAAATCCACCTGGATTTCGGCCAGACGGGCGCTCGCGTACTGAAGGCGACCTGCTATAGACGCTTTTCGTCCGGACTTTTTAGTAAACCAAAAAGGACTGGGCTCACTGGCCTGAGTTGTGCGTGCTGGGCCAGGTATATGAAGCTGAGGTCAGTTGGTCTGTGACTCGAATATCAAATGGAGTAATAGTGCATAAAGCTTCGGAAGACAGTTGATAATACTAGGTCTGGGTGTCTGGCGGAGACGTCACAAGCAGTGGTGGTTGACTGACTGTCGGATGTGAGCAGTTCCTACTGGCAGTAAGGAAGTTTTGCGCCTCCCGCGGAGCCGTGGCCACGGAAATGAAAACAGTTGCGTTGACAATAGTGGATGATACTCGGGAATGAGTATCGTTGCCTAGGTGTGTTAGATGTCTGTGGATAACTGGTACTAAGTCATGGTGTCGTGTTCACTGAGGAAGGAGTAGGGAAGGCGACATTTCTGGGCATTGGTTATCAGTGTTAGCGGTCACGAGGGTTCGGTGACCTAGTTCCTCGAAGCGAAGTGCGAATTCACTGATTGAAATGTTCGTGGTTTAAGCCCTCTACATCTCGACTTCTGTCTGGGTTTGGCAACCTGGCAGTATTTCGGCCCTCGTGTTTCTTCGAGTACCATTGCAGCTAGGCATTGAAAGTATGTTACAGTTGAACGATTTATTTGGTCAGACCTCTTACCATGGACCAACCTGGTATGAGAGACCGAGTGTCGCGCGGATAATCCATGGGTCGCGAATGTACGCCGTCACACCACGGTAAGATCCAGTTCCTAGGTTAATGGTTACAATGGTTTGCGAAACGTTCCAAGTACGCGACGCTGATTACATAATGATGGAACGGTCGAGTGAATAGCGGCTAACGATAGGGCCACAGCGTTCACCTGGTGTTTGGTGAAGGATAGAAGTCCAACCGTGGTAAGAGTGTATACCTAACTGACACTGGAAAAAAGCTGTTAACAGCGTGGGGCAGTCTGCAAGCAGTTAGTGCACCACAGCCCGCACAAAGGTAAGGTCGCACTTAAGGGCACATACAAACAGGGAGGTGCTGATGATGTGAACCGTTTGAAACTGTCAACGTACTCATGCCGACTATTCAGTCGCTACCACCTACAATGGCATTCATAGGTTCGAACATGGCCAAATTGAAGGAATAACCCTTCTTAGTTAGGTAAATAGTCGGTCAGATTTCTGTCGACAAAAAGAATTCGATACCGACTTAATTTTTGTGGTATGTTTCGTCGTTCATTGTCAATTTTGTTCTTCAGTTGAACAGGGTCTTCTGGGGCAGCTATTCATGTCCGGGTAGTACTTTCTGGTAGGTATGAGGCTTGCCTGCTTCCGTTCACTCCATCCCGCTTATTCCGGATGGCTCACTGGTTAAGGCATGAATTTATCGACCCGAAAATTTGTGGTTCGATTCCGACCTTTGTATTTCGACTGCCTTTATGTAGACTTAGGCGACCTAGTAGTATCTCGGCCTCCGTGCGGCTCTCCGGTGCCATGACAACTAGACACCATGAGGGTGTTACAGCGCAACTATTTCCCCATTTACTTCCGACATAACCTTGTTTGGTAATCCAATCAGCTCCATTACTTTGCCATACTTTAGTGTGAGCAGGGTAGTGATTTTTCGATACCTCTAGCGTTATTTCACTCAGTCGTTAGTAGACAGCCAAAGGACGTGAGTTGTGGTAAATCAGCAATCCCCACATTGACATAGACTCTTCAGCTCTGGACGCAGTCCCATCCAGTTCAGTTCAGTCGTTCGACTTAACACTCCCTACAGGTGCTCATTCAACAGCACCAAACCTCCTCTTTGCCAGCGGTTGGCATGATGCGTTCCTGCTTTACCACGCGTAAATATGGGTGTTGACAGTGGCTCACTGGTGGAAGCACATTCTGGATTTGAACATTCAGTTTGGACATCCAATGCAACGCTTCGGTTGTGTTAAATCGTCCCCATGCAGCATTCTGCTGGTGGTTTCTACCTCAAACTAGGTACCCGCAGTGAATCTAAGCCCATATAACATTGTCCATATCAGCTCGCGTAATAAATAGGCACCGGTCTCGTGGATATTGGATACCTATATCCTCAAGGAGAAGCACTTTTCATAATTATCCTGCGGTATTCAGGTTTGTAACCTATGTTGCAACCCAAACGCAAGTAAGGCACCATTGATCTAACCACCGGCTTTAGCTTCAAATCACTGACATACATCTCATCCTAGTGGTAGTTATTTTGGAATATCGCCCACATACTTCAGCTTACTGTAGATCAAGAAAAGCTCTCTCTGAACCACCGATTGTCACCAAACTTCCTCGAAAAAAACCCTACTGAGACTTTTGCTATCGAACTGTTGAGCTCAGCTCAGCTTAGCCCAGCGAACAAGCGAACGACCTGAAAAGCTGTCTCCCACTGGATCTCGCTTTGAGAAGGAACTTTTTATTCAAACGTAGCTTCTACTACCAAACGAAGGCGCTTGTAGCTCGGTGGGAATACGTCAAAAGCATGGTTGAAGTCAATTTTGATGACACATTGTACACAACCAGCCATTTTGGCCCGCTTCAGGGAAAAGCGATTCGCACAACATTGTTCTGTGGAACTAATGCTGTTGACTGCAGATCTCTGTTTAATGTGTAGTTGGCGTTGATTTTAATCAATCATATTGCGACTTACTGACGTGGGGTCCGCAGTGAAAACAGTACATCCTATGAGTAGTCACGCTTCGTTCATCATCATCGACAGCATGACATCAGTGTTCAACACCGATGCTTCACTGCCGTACAACCATGACTTATTTGAAAGCCTTATTGTAAAGAAAAGAATAAAGGTGGATGGGAGAGGGACTTAGTGCTAGCGCAACACAATCATTCCGAGGTGCCTACACCTCCAGACATTCACTCAGGCAATCTGGATAGAAACTGACAACAAGAACACCACTGAACATCGGTTGCAGCCATATCTTGTAGTGTCTTTGTTCATCGAACGTTCAAATGAACAATATATCAGGGTCAATCATCGTTCAGCTGTAAAACTTCGGTGCACAGCTGCCATGCCACCTGAAGAAAGCACAAGGGCTGAGGTACTACCAGGCTGCCGAAGCGTAGACACGAGTAGTCGAGATGCCATAGTTAAACTGGGACCACGAACCTCCTGATTAGTAAGTTCGTGTTTTAACCACAGATATTTCGGGCACAGCAACTGAACCAGTAGTTGTCTTACTAAACCGTCGAGGGTTTACCGATGGCACTCATCATATCCAGGAGCGAACTGCTATTCAAACTTCAGCTAACGGTGGACTGGAAGTGAAGTCCCCTATTGTTGCGAGAGTCGAGTAGTTCCAGGACGGGATTAGAAAGGAGACAGAATAGGAAGACGTAATGTACGCTTTAATCGTCTAATAACTGTAGTACATGAGCTGAAAATAGAGTAAGAATCACGAGTTAATGGGTTATGCAAATGTATGGGTTATATAGTCATGACACCTATAAGGTTGTTTGCGCAAACCAGCATGTTTTGTGTTAAATGCGGAATGCAGAATGCCCTAACAGCAGGCCTCCCCCGGCCGTGTTGTCTTTAAGAACATCCTTTGAATTAGATTAAGTTCTGGTTCTGTTCGTGCCTACATGCCAGTCCTCTTGCTTTGTTTGAACGTCTTCGGGACTGTGCGATGCTCACTCATCTATGTCAACACGGTTGCGTTCATTGGACTCAAGTAGGAAGGTTAGGCCGAGGCTTGTTCCACAGGATGTTAATGTATTGGCAAGATATGCGGATAGCTTGGCAGATTGGAGACATCGTTATCCTGGTTGTCGTCGTGATGACACACCAGTGCCTAGCCGAAACACAATCGTTAAGAAATAAATCCTTAGGAACAACTGGAGAGAAAAGAGAAGACCGAGATTCGGCACAAGAACGCATTTTATCCCCGGAGTGAGTAACCACGAGTAAGACGTGTACATACGAAGATTGCTGTCCGACGAAGATCATCAATTCCGTTCTTGAACTTAGGCACCAATGACAATGGGGCGAACGCTAGGAGGGTCTTCAGACCCCAGTGTTCAAACCATTGCTGGTGAGAACTGAAGTACGCAGACGGTATCGTCTTCATCTTTGAGCACGCAGGCCAAGCACAAGCCCTGTTGAATTACCTATCTACCATCTTTCCATCATTCGGCATGCACCTTGCCCGTTCGAAGTGCAAAGACGTGCTTCATAAAGTGCAGTCCCTGAACATACCCCTTACAATTCAAATAGAATCGCTGGTGGTTGTGGAAAGTTTCATACACCTCGGTATTTGAATTGGCTCTGACGGAGGTGTATCTGATGAAGTCAGTGCACGAACCTCATGGGCCAGAATCACTTGGTACTTCGCGTCACTCAAGGGTCAACGGCTACAGTAATGACTATTGTTGTATGGTTGCGGGACTGTTGGTTGCATCTGTGATATGAAACGTTTTCGGGTTGTTGTTCACCGATGCCTCAGAGGCGTTGGTGGTTTAGGATTATGCCAACGAATTCGTAACGAGGTATCTGGGAAATGGTTATCTGGTTATGCAAAACGTACTTAAGTTGTGGAAATCATCCAGCATCATGAACTATGGTGGCTCGGCAATGTGCTACGAATACTCAAACACTGTCTACCGAGACGAGTGTTCTCTGTGCCTCATTCGGAGTGGCGCAAACCGCGAGGTGGCAGGCGAGTGTGAAGAGATTACGAAGAATTTGGATGTTTCTGGTGTAGTACGCCTTCTGGGATGCGTTCTCCGTGACCACTCTTGCGCTTCACTAGAGATATTTTAAGAAAGGCGGCTGATCTATGTTGGTGGCGTTCGTGTCGTCACTTTTTCCCTGGTTGTCTAGTTCAGTGGTTGGCGCATAGGTCCCGCAGAGTGCCATCATTAGGTCCCCTCCCTGACTTTTCTCCTCTTTTCACTACAAGGTTTCAAATACAAGTAACCAAACTTTGTGGCTGTATCACAGTGAAACATCAATGTGACACTAATATTGCCATCCGTGATGACTATCAGACTTCATATGTGGACGGGTGTCGGTAGTGACTGTAAGGCTTGGCGGTTCCTAGATTTGGGAGAATGAGGCTTGCGAAAAAACTTTGAAAATATCTGGAAATCGTTCCCGTTTGTCGATTCGACGTATCCGAAACTTATTGCTAGTGAAACCACTTCTGACAAAATTGTGACTCATTTCAACTAAGGAGCAGTAACTGGACAGTTAGGCCAAACAACGAGAGACAATCCAGCTGGTCATCTGCTGATGTTATCAGGATTTCTAACCAGTAGCAGAACCCTGGACAGCGAACGTGGAACCTCCAAAGGCGTGTAAGGTGTACAAATGCTTTTCGCTCTGAGTCGGCACTCAGCTCCTCGTCCTGATTTGTCATCAGCATCCACAACGATGTCTGAACTTTTATCCCTTTGTAAAAGAGCACCTAGAACGTCATAGAAATTGTCTTTGATAGATTCAGCGCCTCGTTCCGCGGGGGCGTAAGCAGATACAATGAACAGTGCGACGAGCCCTAGTTTCTCGTGGTTATTCCACAGACGTTACTAAATGAACCACGCGGAAACGACTCAATGGGTATCCAATCAAGTAAAGACGCTCCCCCCGATCGATCAATACAGTAACCATCCCAGCACAACCAGCTACAATGGCCTCCGCATCACTGTAGGTGTGCAGCCGAAATCTGGCAGACGGCGAGGGGGCAGTCAGTTCAATTACAGTACTTACGACCTGTATCCTTGTTTCTGACAGACATACATCAACACATAGGGAATCCTATGCTGTCCTACTTGGTTCAATGTGTGAACATTAAAGGGAGCTAAGTAGATCGGTTTTCGGGGTTTAGAACCGACTTCGACGTGTTCAGTGTTGTTACTAAAGTCGGACGCACATAAGCTTCAGATGAAATAGATGCATGGAGTACAAAGCGATCAGTCCTAGTACTGGTGATGTAGTAATACAGTAGTTTATGGGTGTGGAATATATTCGCCTCGAATTAAAATTTCCCCTGAGCCTCAGGAACAATCTGTCCTACCAGAGCTTTGTTGCTTTGAAAAGCTGATTCTGATGTCCTTTAGTGAAGACACTGTATCGCAGTTGGCCGTGCACGTCACGTTTCTGTCCGGATGTTAGGTGGTAGGGATTACAAAAGGCGGTCTTGGTATGTTCACTTTGCATCGAGTATTGTGAACCTTTCGGTTTTCATGTCCAAAGCATCGGAGAACATTCCAGCAACAGACGGGGGTGTGGTCCGCATCTAACATCAGTGTTCCGAAAGGGGTGACATTCAGTGACGGATCCAAATCACCTATGTTTGGCAATATTGTGGTTATTTTGAGTTTTTTGCTTGGTACGTGAGGAGCATAATGCAGTTAAAGGATTCCATTGGTTTCGGAAATCAGTTGTGCGCAGGTACATTTGGTTACCGCGCATTCGCTGTCGTTCGTTCTTGTCGGGTTCAGTCAAGTGCGACCGCCCTATGAAGCCTCAGTGGCTTAAGGGTACGTATTTGCTCATTCATATCACACGTAGTCACGATGATATATGGGCTTTCGCTTTTCTATATTAAAACGCTCAGGGAGTGGTGAAGGTTCTCTTTGGTGGTGAACATTGAACGAGTGGCGATCATCAGCTTGTTCCAGGCTTGTTTCTCTCAGAGTCGCTCGCGAAGGACACAGGGGGACTTGGTAAGTATTCGGCCAAACAACAGTGAAGCCGTTTTAGCCACCCGCAGCGGCATCCGGACCACTAGAGACGCCCAACGAGCATCGTGAAAAACCAGTGAGACAATTAGCACCGTATTGAGGTGTAATTCTTCAAGTTTTTATTAAGCACGATACACCAATCGAAAACTGGTGGCTTGTAAACTCAATTCATTACAGCCGGAATTCACCGTCGCCTGGAGACCAGGAGTTCGATTATTACATTTTCTGTAATCTCTGTAAACTGATCCGAGTTTTTCCTGGAAACACTTTCCTGGTTTGTCGTAGTTGTCAGCAAGATTTGAGGGTCATCTTTGATCTGTGTGTGGTACTATCGCATGCGTCGCCGGGAGCAGAGTGTTTGGCAGATTATCGGTCTAAACGTGGAAAATTCACCGTTGTCAGAAGGTTGGAACCCACTTCCTCTAAGAGAACGGAGTTCTTTCCAACACAACAACATCAAAGAAGAGTAAATCCTGGAGGGTTCACAATCGTGGTCACTGTCAAAAACGCCCCTGCGTGTGACCCCTCGGAAGTGGTTAGACTCTTCCGGAGCATTCACACATTGCTCCGCTTTGCTGGTCTTTCTTGAAAGCATTATATGCAGGACATAATTCTGTTTCAAAATTCATGCATAAACAGCCTTTACGTTTGCAAATAGGTGGTCTGCCAAGGAAACTAGTGGGTATCTCTTGCCTGTTTACTAATACAAGTGGGCTGTGAGTAGTTCTCCATAGTTCTAACGGTTTAAAGGGCTCGGGATGACGTTTTTTTCCAATTGGTCCCGTCGGTAATCTATCGTATTGTCTAATCTAATAGTTTCATTTTGGAGAGGCTTATCGGTTTCCCACATAGGTTCTCTGAGTGCGGGGGTTATGGGTCGTTTTGCAGTGGATTGACTGCTACGTATGGGCGTTT